AGAAACCTACCAAAATTTTAAGCATCCTACCCTTCTACCAACCAAAAAAAAACCTACCAACTTTGGTAGGAAAAGCCGAAAACGACAACCCTGGTTGCAGTTTAAAGTCTCTCACTTCATAAATTAGCTCAGCTATCATTTTTCACCAGTTCATGTTAACGCACCGATATTAATTTTAGATTCAATTAATTCAAAAGCTGCAGAGTCAAAATCACTATAGCATGTCTTATGATATGACGACTTGCATCCATGACAATTAACGAATTGTCTTTAGATAATGACTTTGAGCACAAAGCCCAGCGGGAGCGAAGCGACATTTCAACCGAATAGTTTAACAGTTCAGCTACAATGAATGGGCAATGCTTGAGAATGCTCAGAAATGGGAGAAAATATTCGTGAGTAGGGTTCTACGACATTTAAAAAATAAGCTGAGAACTACTTCGCAAAATTGCTGCAACGGACAAATATTTTACCAAAAATTATGCCAACGCTGAAGATAGTGATGATGAAGTGTGCGAAGATGGGAACATGTGATCTTGTCGATAATTAATTTGATTACTTGAGGAATGCAGTTTATCATACGATTGTAAGTTCCTTGAACGAATAAAATGTATTAATATCAGACATTTTTTTCCAATTTTGATATCCTTTTATTTTATTTTTTTTTTTATTCCTAAATCCCGCGAAATTGTTGGCCGTGGCGCGCTTTTCCTTTTTTTCAGTCAAAAATGATGGGTTGCTTAATCGTAGACCTACAAGCGATTGTGATATTCTAAATAATTTTTCTACATTAAAGAGTAGATACATTCGGTATAGTTTGCTCAATTTAGGTACATACATTTCTCCAAAACCATTTCGCGTCAATAATTTATATATTGTGCATTAAAGAAGACTGAATGTCATCTATCGGCAATTCAACATTCTACCGCTATAATTAACAAAATAAACAGGGGACTAAACTCCGTAGAAATATTGAACTTTTTTTTTGTAGAAATAGCAAGATCTGCCAAACGTTAATTTGTATCTATCGTAGACCTACAAACGATTGTGATCCAGCAATGGGTTGTGTGTCCCAGCAATGGGTTGTGCGCTGGGTTTGGGACCCGCCACGTAAAAACCACTTCCAGTGAAGAAGCAAGGCAAAGCCTCGGATGAGACCCCCTCCCCCTTATGATGACGACCACGGCAAACGTTTAAAGGACTACGATTTGAAGGCATGCACCTGGAATGTCCGGACTCTTAATGGGGAAGGTGCCCGGCTGGTTTATGTCATCGTAAGGACAAAAGTTGACATCACCGCCATCCAAGAAATGCATTGGACGGGGCAAGGCAAGCAATGTATGGGGCCTTGCGACGTCTACTACAGCTGCCATGTAAAGGAGCGCAAATTCGGAGTTCGCCACAATCCACATCAAAGCGAAATTCTTTAACATCTCGCTCATCTGCGCCCATGCCCCGATGGAAGAGAAGGATGAGGCATCCAAGGATCTCTTCTATGAGCGCTTGGAGCGCATGTACGAGCGCTGCCCCGTCATGATATCAAAATCGTGCTTGGCGACTTCAATGCCAGGGTGGGCAAGGAAGGGATCTTTGGAACCACCCTCGGAAAATTCAGCATCCACGACCAAACGTCCGACAACGGATTGAGGCTGATCGACTTCGCAGGGGCCCGAAACATGGTAGTATGCAGTACTAGGTTCAAGCATAAAAAGATCCATCAAGCTACGTGGCTGTCTCCGCATCGAAAAACGAGAAACCAAATCGATCATGTTGTGATAGACGGAAGGCACGCTTCCAGTGTTTTAGACGTACACACACTCCGAGGCCTAAACATCGACTCGGACAACTATCTTGTTGCAGCCAAGGTACGCACCCGCCTCTGTGCAGCACAAAATGTGCGCCCAAATATGCAAGGAAAGCTTAACATCAAAAAGCTGCAATCACAACAGACAGCCAGCGCTTTCGCTGCTCGACTCTCACACCTGCTCTCAGAGAGCACTCCCCAACAAACCGACATATGCGAGCAGTGGAACCACATTTCCCGCTCATTAAGTACTGCCGCCGAAGAAGTAGTCGGATTTCAGCGAGCCCGAAAGAACAACTGGTACGATGAGGAGTGTCAGGAAGCTGCAGATAAAAAAGATGCCGCCTACAGAGCCACGCTGCGGTCGGGCGCAACGCGCGCTTTGTGGGACTGCTATAGGGACTTGAAGAGGGAAGCGAGACGTATTTGCCGCAATAAGAAGAGAGAGGCCGAAATACGTGAATGCGAAGAGCTTGAAATGCTGGCCGACAGGAAGAATGCCCGAAGACTTTACCAGAGAGTTAGGCGACTTACGGAAGGTTTCAAGACCGGGGCGTACTCCTGTAAGGACAATAATGGCGAACTAGTAACTGAAGTCCAGAGCGTAATAAAATTATGGAGGGAACCCTTTTCCGCTCTACTAAATGTTAGCAGCACAGAAAGTTGTGAAGAAGAAGAACCCGAGCCCGCAGTCGATGATGACGGAGGCGACGTTCCACCGCCTGACCTTGACGAGGTACGTATAGTAATAACGCGGCTGAAAAACAACAAAGCTGCTGGAGCTGACAGCCTGCCAGCTGAGCTATTCAAGTACGGCGGCGAGGAGTTGATAAGGTGCATGCATCAACTCTTGTGCAGAATATGGTCAGATGAACGCATGCCCGACGACTGGAATTTAAGTGTGCTCTGCCCAATCCACAAGAAAGGTGACCCCGCCATTCGCGCCAACTACCGCGGGATCAGCCTTCTAAGCATAGGTTACAAGGTCTTATCGAGCGTATTGTGTGAAAGACTGAAGCCCACCGTCAATGAACTGATTGGGCCTTATCAGTGTGGCTTTAGATCTGGAAAATCCACCATAGACCAGGTATTCACAATATGCCAAATCTGGGAAAAAACCCGCGATAAATGATCGACACTCACCACCTATTTGTCGACTTTAAAGCCGCCTTTGACAGCACTAAAAGGAGTTGCCTATATGCCGCTTTGTCTGAATTTGGCATCCCCGCCAAACTGATATGGGTGTGTAAAATGACGTTGAGCAATACCACCAGCTCCGTCAGAATTGGAAAAGACCTCTCCGNTTTGTCTGAATTTGGCATATCCTCAAAACACGTACGGCTGTGTAAAATGACGTTGAGCGATAACACCAGCTCCGTCAAAATTGGGAAATACCTCTCCGATCAGTTCGCCACAAAACAGGGTTTCAGACAGGGCGACTCCCTTTCATGTGACCTTCTTTAATCTGCTGTTGGAGAAGATGATAAGAGCTGCAGAACTGAACCGCTCAGGAACAATTTACTACAAGAGCGTGCAATCGCTTGCTTATGCCGATGACATCGACTGCCTTTTCCAAGTTGGATAGGGAAGCAAAGCGAATGGGTCTGGTGGTAAACGAGGACAAGACGAAGTATCTCCTGTCATCAAACAAACAGTCAGCACATTCGCGCCTTGGCACCCACGTCACTGTGGACAGTTAAAATTTCGAGAAAGTAGAGAATTTCGTTTACTTGGGAACCAGCATTAACAACGATAATAATGTCAGCATTGAAATCCAACGCAGAATCACTCTTGCCAACAAGTGCCATTTTGGACTGAGTAGGCAATTCAGGAGCAAATTCCTCTCTCGACGTACGAAAACCATGCTCTATAAGTCACTCATCATTCCCGTGCTGGTATATGGCGCAGAAGCATGGACAATGACAACATCCGATGAGGCGGCTCTTGGAGTGTTTGAGAGAAAGATTTTGCGGAAGATTTACGGGCCTTTACGCGTTGGCGACGGCGAGTACCGCAGACGATGGAACGATGAGCTGTATGAGCTTTACAACGATATGGACATAGTGCAGCGAATTAAAATACAGCGGCTCCGCTGGCTTGGTCATGTCGTTCGAATGGACACCGACGCTCCAGCTCTGAAAGTATTCAACTCGGAACCCGCTGGTGGTAGCAGAGGAAGAGGGAGGCCCCCACTGCGATGGAAAGATCAGGTGGAGAAGGACTTGGCTTCACTTGGCGTTTCCAATTGGCGTCAGTTGGCACAGAGGAGAAACGACTGGCGTGCTTTGCTGATCTCGGCCAAAATCGCTAGGCGGTTACTGCGCCAAAAAAGAAGAAGAAGAACTTCTATGTGGGTGCCTAAGGCTATCTGAACACTTGTCGTCCAATCATGGTTGCGTTATCGTTGGCAAATCGTAGAAGATGCAGAAACAGATAAGTACGACACTGTCGTTTGCTTATCGTTATGCACGCATTGTTTTTTTACATTTTATTACAAAATTAGTGAAAAGGTTAATATTTGCACTAAAATTACAGAAATACTCATTTCTTATATAGAATCTATGGAAACTATTAAAAAGTGTATAATTGCTATAAAATTCAATAACTTTGAGATATATNGGGGAAAAAATTAGTGAAAAGGTTAATATTTGCACTAAAATTACAGAAATACTCATNTACAAAATTAGTGAAAAGGTTAATATTTGCACTAAAATTACAGAAATACTCATTTCTTATATAGAATCTATGGAAACTATTAAAAAGTGTATAATTGCTATAAAATTCAATAACTTTGAGATATATCGAAATTGTAAAAATTGTCTACGTGAGTGAACAAAATACATTTCCGAAAAGAAAAGACGAGAGATTTATAATAAATTACGTCTGTAATTGTTGCAGCACAGTTCATAATTTTAAAATTGCAAGTTTTTGTAAAGACTGCGAAAATATTAACCAAAAAAACAGAAAATACCTGCTCTTAGCGAATTTTTAGCCGCGAAATGAATTGAAATATCACGACCGAGTGTGCGAAAGTGTAGACGTCATGTAATGGTTGCATCATGATTGTGACGATGAAGCAACTGTGATTGCACGACCAATGTGCAGAAAGCCTAACTAAACGACTGTCGAAGTGAAATACTAACGACCATCACGATAACGGTAAATAAGATATTAAAAAAAAATTAGACTGTTTTACCTTCTGTGAATCCTGTCAATGGATCTGCATTTTCATACCAAAATCGGTCGCCAACACGTGTACGATAGAACTGTTCTGTAAGTATACAAAGGAATGTGGGTCCAGCAAGAGCTCCTGTTATATGTGCCTCCACGGCACCGCCCACAGTAAGATCAACGTCTTCGTGGCTAGCGTATAAGGATTTCATTTTTTCAATAATCTGTAGAGTAAAAAATTAGTTTTATATAATGTCGGGGACACCCTGACCGTTTTTTTTCATACATTGAGCTCGATGAGATCACCATAATCTTCCCAGCTACTGGCTCGCTTGAGGCCACAAAACTCTCTTAAATCGTTGTAAGATGCTAATCCATGGTCTCGATTCCGCTGAATATCGATAGCTCGCAGATCACCGCCGAATGGCATATTCCGTCTCAGCAGGAAGTGCTTTATCTACAAATATGCAAAAAAAAAAGAAACTACTGTAATACAGGCTTTACATTAGGAATGTAAATCCCGGGATCCCAGGATTCCGGTCTTTTTTAAGTCTCGAAAATCCCGGGATTATTTTCCTAGAATCCCGGGATTTGAAATTTACACTGGTGGCAATAATTGAAACGCTTTATGTTGAACAGTTTTGGCTATATTTCTTTTGTTTATTTAATTTTTAACATTTTTTTATAAATGTTTAGCTCAATATACGTATAACACCTCGCGGCAGGCAATTTTGGACACGAAAAAATTAATATATTCGCCAAACCAAGGCCCAACTATAGTAAAATCGCGTTCTTAATTTTTGTCTCTGACGTCAGTATTTTTTAAAAGAACTTTGAAATTTTAAAGATAAGAGTAATTCAAAAAATGATTTAAAAATTTCAGTGCAATATACTTAAAAAACCATTATGGGTATCAAATGAAGAAGAAGATCTGTAGAGTTAAAACACATTACAATTTTTGGTGCGTAAGGGACGGGTAGGTATTAAAAATACCCTTTTATAATTTTATCCTCGAATAGCTTGAAATTTTTCAATTCTTATTTTTGAAAAAATTATGTGTTAAGGACTAACTTTATAAGCTTAAAAAATAGAACTGATTAAACAGGCATTTTCAATTCTTATTCGTTCTTGTGAACACAAAAAATAATTTCATTTGGTACCCTTAATTTGTTTTACATTGCACTGAATTTGTTTTAAATACACTTTCGAATTAACCATATCTTTGAAATTATAACGAGCCCTAACCGCCAAAATAACGTGACATTTCTTTTAAATTTTCGTTTTGATGCAGAAATGCATCTAGATGGCCTAGGACTATTTCTGCATCAAAAAGAAAATTTTGAGAAAAAATGTAGCTTACGTTATTTTGGCGGTTAGGGCTCGAGAAAGTCTTAAAAAAAAATCATGACATCAAAGAAAAGCCCATTTATATGCAGTTAATTATGTGGAATATGAGGTAGACTTTTATAAAAAAATTTAAATTTTGGATAAACAAACCTGGTCGAATTAACGCGCTTTTTTTATACCACGAGTTTTATGAACTTCTTTCAACCAGAAAATAAATTTTTTTATTTAATTTTTTGGCATCGAGGTTTTTTCGACATATCTTAAATTACTTTATTAGATATGTGCACACTAAAGTATTATTAAATGCATAAGAATTTAATTACTGTGTTACGTTTTGTTACTTATGAAATAATTTTCACTTTAAATTAAAAGTACGTTTCAAACCTATTTACATATTATTCATTGTATGGTAGGAGGGCTTCTCCAACCTATTGATGCAATTTTTTTCATGTTAAGTCGTTGAAAAATAATAAATATCTAAATCCCGGGATNTTATGGGTATCAAATGAAGAAGAAGATCTGTAGAGTTAAAACACATTACAATTTTTGGTGCGTAAGGGACGGGTAGGTATTAAAAATACCCTTTTATAATTTTATCCTCGAATAGCTTGAAATTTTTCAATTCTTATTTTTGAAAAAATTATGTGTTAAGGACTAACTTTATAAGCTTAAAAAATAGAACTGATTAAACAGGCATTTTCAATTCTTATTTTTGAAAAAATTATGTGTTAAGGACTAACTTTATAAGCTTAAAAAATAGAACTGATTAAACAGGCATTTTCAATTCTTATTCGTTCTTGTGAACACAAAAAATAATTTCATTTGGTACCCTTAATTTGTTTTACATTGCACTGAATTTGTTTTAAATACACTTTCGAATTAACCATATCTTTGAAATTATAACGAGCCCTAACCGCCAAAATAACGTGACATTTCTTTTAAATTTTCGTTTTGATGCAGAAATGCATCTAGATGGCCTAGGACTATTTCTGCATCAAAAAGAAAATTTTGAGAAAAAATGTAGCTTACGTTATTTTGGCGGTTAGGGCTCGAGAAAGTCTTAAAAAAAAATCATGACATCAAAGAAAAGCCCATTTATATGCAGTTAATTATGTGGAATATGAGGTAGACTTTTATAAAAAAATTTAAATTTTGGATAAACAAACCTGGTCGAATTAACGCGGTTTTTTTTTATACCACGAGTTTTATGAACTTCTTTCAACCAGAAAATAAATTTTTTTATTTAATTTTTTGGCATCGAGGTTTTTTCGACATATCTTAAATTACTTTATTAGATATGTGCACACTAAAGTATTATTAAATGCATAAGAATTTAATTACTGTGTTACGTTTTGTTACTTATGAAATAATTTTCACTTTAAATTAAAAGTACGTTTCAAACCTATTTACATATTATTCATTGTATGGTAGGAGGGCTTCTCCAACCTATTGATGCAATTTTTTTCATGTTAAGTCGTTGAAAAATAATAAATATCTAAATCCCGGGATTGATCCCGGGATCCCGGGATTGAACCAAAGACATCCCGAAAATCCCGGGATCGAACCAACGACATCCCGAAAATCCCGGGATCGTAAAAATCGAAAAAAATTAACATCCCTACTTTACATACATATAACTGGTTTTGATTTTCCTATTTGTAATTAAAAACTGAATCAACCAGTAAAAATAACAAAATAATCTTAGTTTTAACCCTTTACTTTTCTCTGTGGAACTTTGTATTATTGACTAGCGAATACTCGGCATGCTTCACTGCGCCTCAAAAGTATTTTTGTGCTGTTTGATACCCATATTGTAACATTCCATTTATTTTATCAATTTAATAGAGTAAAATTTTTCAAACCGGTAGCAACCTGTCTCAAACACATTCCCGGCAGGGCTGCGAACTATACTTAGCTATGAAGTGCCACATTGAGGACAAAAAAGTGCCAAAATGTGCCAAATAGAAAACTAAAAGTGCCAAAAAATGTGCCGTTCTTTTTAATTCTTCCTATTTAGCATTAAAATTAGAGACACATTCCCAAAACAAAAGTCCAATGCGAAAGTAAGATAAACCAGTTGTATAAGCTATAGAAATTAGCAAATTTTAGTTGCGAAAAATAAGTACATGTAAAGAATTTCACAAAAATGTATTCAAATATTACTATTTTTCAAAAGTGCCATTTTGGCAGTCTGTGCCAAATTGAAAAATTAAGTGCCATTTGGGGTAAAATAGGGCCAAAAATGGCACGGTTTGAGCCAAGTTGGCTGCTCCGATTCCCGGCAGTAAACTTACCTAAGCCTCTTCAGTTGGATACCCATGTTTCAATATTCACTTTACCTTATAAATTAAATTAAATTAAAATTTTCAAACAGGTGGCAACCTTCAACAAAAATATTTTCGGCTTTAAGCCTTCTTAGGGCCAAATTCACAGTGCGTAGTTAACCACTGATAAGAGTTTAACTATTTATTTTCATATTCACAACGCTCAGTTAACAAAAATTTAAACCAGCATGCCCCCATAGTTAAACTCTTGTGAAATAAATTTTTTTTGTGGAACTAATTTCAAATTTGAATAGAAAAGTATTGATTTTTAGAATTTGTATATTTTCAGGCGATACGAATTTCTATAGTTAACTATGTGACTCTGAATATAAATTCATAATTAAAACCTTGTTGGTGGTTAAGTTAACAATGGTTTAACTAAGCACTGTGAATTCGGCCTTAGACGTATTTCTTTTTACAGTCATATAGCAATATCTACTTTATCTTTCAATCTACTTAAACTGTATATAACAATTATATTCAACAATTTTTATTGAGCTCCAGGCCGTTTTTTAATGAAAACTTATTGTGGAAAAGCAACAATAATTTGAAAAAATGGTAGAAGTGATAGCTATTTCGGAAATCACCACATTTCCTCATCAGACTTCTTTCAGTAGGATTCGAACCGACGATCCCACTGACTCAGCCAGTTGCCTACGCACTGTGCTAAGTTCGCCTTGTTAATTCTTGTTGCTTATTTCCACTGTTTCACTTGCTAAGCCTACTACAATCAAGCGCAGCTGTTCCGCTGCAATTCACTTGATAGAGTGGTTGTTGGTATTGCTGGTTTTTAATATTTTCTATTGTTAGAATGTTTAAATTTTAGGTGTGCTCATCCTGAAGTTATTTGTTTTTGTTATTTTATGGCCTTATAACAATTATATTTATAATTATATTTATAATTGTTATAAGGCGATAAATAACAAAAACAAATAACTTAATTAATTATATTTATAATCGTCGGTTCGAATCCTACTGAAAGAAGTCTGATAAGGAAGGATCGTCGGTTCGATACCATTTTTTCAAATTATTGTTGCTTTTCCACAATAAGTTTTCATTAAAAAACGGCCTCGAACTCAATAAAAATTTTTGAATATAATTGTTATAAGGCCATAAAATAACAAAAACAAGTAAATTAAACTGTAGTTTTCAAACAGGTGACAACTCCAATTCTTTCTTTCCTTCTTTATTTTAAGTTAGACCTCCAGAAATACACAGGTGAAAACTGCGTTCAATTCCAAGCATTAGTTTTCGACTCATATGCGTGCAAACTTCCAGACAGACAGACAGATAAAAATTCTAAAAATTTCCGATTTGGCTTCTGTTGCTCTAATAATAATTTTTCCTTAATATCTAAAATGTACAGACATCGGCCTGCTACAATTTTTATATATGTATAGATTACAAAATTTACCAAAAAACACAAGTCGTACAACTTGGAACGCCATATACATACATATGTAGCACAAGTTGTAAGTCAGAATTTCAAATACGACAACAAAATCTGGACTTAGGTAACGCAAACTCGAACTTCGCAGATCTCATAATATTATTGCTTATTTTAATCATTTACCACTAAAAGAGTTTAAATAGACGCGCATAATTGCATATGTATCAATGTTGCCACTTTGTGAGTAATTCCTCAGAACGTGAGAAATTTCGGGTGCGCTTGAGTATTTTTTGAGGATTTTTATATTGAGGAATTTTCTCTCGATATGTTTGCAGATAACAAATGCAACCATGTTTTACACAACAGAGTTGTTAAATCGCTCTGCAAATTATTCAA